TATTCATTTATAAAATACTATTTTTGTGAACTTTTGTGAGAAATATAATTATGGTACATGCATGTGTAGTGTTCAATACGGTAGATCATTTAAATCGAAATTTGTCCTCTCATCGGTATGTATTTTTAGGTTAAGATATGTTGTTTTCATTTGAACCAGTGGAGTAGGGCACCCGTCTTAAGACTATTTTCACTATACAATTTCTTGTACAAGATTTGATACAATTTCTTATAGTATTTAAATTGTATAGGATCACCATAATAAATTGTTTGAAAAATGATTATCCAATCTAATTTTTCAGACAATTTACTGCAGGATTGATAATATACAATTTAAATTGCACAAGAAATTGTATCAAAAACAGTCTTAAAACAGTTTTTAAAGTGATATTCCTTTTATAAATTAGTAAATTATACCAATAGATAATTATTGAATGGTGGCAAAGAAAATTTAACGTAAAATGTAGAATACCTTAAAAATGATTTACCTATTAGGCACCTATACATATTTTTTAATATTCAATTTAGGTTTCCGCAAGATCCTGAGAAAAAAAAACTTTGGTTTTCTCTAGTAGATGTTTTGGTACGTGCAACTGGTGCTAAATATATCAGAAAAGATGCCAACCCCAGACGGTGTGAGGGCTTTCTATTTTTTGATGACTTATCCAATAGGTAAAAATATAAAATATTAATTTTTTGTTTATCTCTAAACATTATTTATTACCTATATGTATGTATATCTAATGTATGGGTTTTTAGTTCTGATTCAAATGTTTTTGGAACAAAAAAAAACATTGCAGTAAGTAATAACACTAATAACTAAGCATAAAAAATTAAATGAAATTTAATTTAATAAAAATAAGGTATTTAGTATATTTAAAACGTTATTTTTAAAATTTTTACAGTTTTTTTACGATATTTTTTGCCATACAATGTTTTTTTGTAATTATTAATTAAAAAAATTATATATTTTTAGGACAGTGTTTTATTTAAATACCCCTACCTACTTAATGTTAATAAAATTTTAAATAATTTTGGTTAACATCATACCAGGCAAATATATAGTAAATGACAATAAACTATAAACCAATAAAAATCGGAAGGTAACTTGAATTCTCTTGTATTTGAATTGACTTGTACTTGAATTTACCTACATGAAAAAATCATCATAATTATATTACTAAAAAAATATACCTACTTATTTACGTATTTTTTTAACTACTCTGACAATACTGGTAAGTTTAAAACTCTTCGCCTCTGGCGAGTATATTATGGACACTGTTTACAACGTTGCCAGCCGGTCCTAAGTGACTGTTTCCCAACAGGTCCTTATTCGAGAAAATTGACAAAAAGTAAAAAATTCAAATTTCTAAGAAAATTGTTTGTATAAAAGTTGTTTGAGATGTCACTCTATAATTCTTGTCCCATACACAATTTCTCTAAAATGGACCGTCTTTCTCTCTTCCACTCACTAACAATTTTAAAACAATAACAGTCCGCAATTGTATGGGATTTATGAATGAAAAATTTTGTCTCTATGTTGTAATGTCTTTGGGTGGTTAGGCAAAAATACTTAGATTTTTTAGGAGAATTCAAAAATAAAATACAGGGTGTTCCATTTGAAAAAAATAATGCTTATGTTGTCTTGCTTTTTGGGGGCACCTTTATAATGGAAAATAGATTTACAATAGGTGACTATACAAAGCATAAAACCTTTATCATCAACATTTTCTCCTATTTTCACACTAAATGTATAGACAAAACAATTTAAAACATAAAACTGTTTCTGCATACGTAGTTTATGGAAGCTTTTGTGACAGTTTTAAAATTGAGAAGATAGTTCTTCTGATATAATTTTTTTCTATAATTATATTTTTGTATTTGAAATCAATCCCTCAGCAGCAGTGAAAATGAGGGTATCTTTTATAAAAATACGCATTTTGTTACAAATAATTAAAAAAATATATATTTCGCAGGTACGCACTAAAAAATACAAAATTAGGGTAAAAGTTGTTTGTGATGCAATTCTCTATAATTCTTGTCCTTTACATAATTTCTCTAAAATGGACCGTATTCGAGATATTTCAGAAAAAGTGCAAATTTCGGATATTTAAGATAACTCAAAAAAGAATAGAAGAAAAACACCAAATTTAAAATTTAAGCTTTAATCCATCCTGTGGCATAGTCGGAACATCTGGGGGAACTTTATAGAAGGTCGTTTTTCTACTTTATAAATATATCTGTTATTTACGCTTGGAGAACAAAATTCTTTAAATAAAAGATGCTTGTAATATTATTCCAAAAAATTGAGTAAAAGTAAAAAAATTTAATTTTTTGTTTGAAATATCATTCTCTATAATTTTTATTTTATAATGATTTCTTTAAAATGAATCGTAATGGACAAATTTAAGGAAAAGTGTAAAATTTTAATTTTTTTAGCATTTTTGTTGGCAATGAATATTTACAGGGATGATACAATAGGTTGCACAAAATAACCGAAAAACGCCTGTAATAAGTAAAGTCATGTATTGGACACATCAGATTTTTTAAAATTATGATTAACTTTAAATATTTTTTGGGTTTATTATGTATTTTTTAAAATTCCTTAAAAACCAAAGAAGTTAAATTTATTTTAAAATAAGCACCTAGTTATTGTATGTGTGTTTTTGTATAGTCAAATTATATTTAAGGATATTTTCAGTTATTTCGTTAAAAAAATGCAGTGGCTATTTTTTTTTACTTAGTAGATGGTAAATATTTTTACTAGATCTATCTACATAGATTTATAACTAAAATTGCTAGTTTGAAATAACTGCATGTTTGTATAATAGGATGGGTAGGATTTTTTGAACAATTAGTTATTGTAACTTGTCCTTATTGGTTTTTCTATGGAATTTTTTTAAAATAATTTATTATATCTAAATTTAATAAATTTTTGGGTAATTTTTTTTGGGACTAAATCACTATAACTAGACTCAATAGGTTTTTGAGCAGGATATTTATCAGTGTTTTACTATTAAATATTTAAAATCTGTTTTAATAATTTTGTAATGATAACATTTTTATTAAAGTATGCCAAATTTCGTTCATTTATCTCTTAAATTAAAAAAACTGCAAATAAAATAATAAAAAAATGTTTAACTCTTTTTATCCAAAAATGAACTCTTTCGAGAAAACTATGACGACACGAAACAACGAAGTTGCTCGAATCAAACTTATGTTTTAAGTTAAATTGTGGATCTTTAAAAAAAATAGACAACGTCATCATTTGTTAGGACCACTCATTTCATAGCAATTTCCACTATTTGAAAAAATGAATTATTTAAACATAATTTGTAATTTAAAGAAAAGTTATAAAAAACTGTTGTTTATTTTTTAATAATCTTAAATTTTCCTATAGATGTCATTTCAATTAGTGCCAAATTTTGAATTTCTAGTTTCATATTTCTCTATTTTCAAGATTCCATGCATATCGAACTGTATATTGAGCACAAGTTTTTAAATAGCTCATAAGCGTATATTTTTTATGCAGAAACTGTTACAAAAATCTTCAGAAAAGTAAGGAATTATTGTTCTTTTCAAGTTTTATTAACAGGACAAGTATGTTACGGATAAAATTTTTTGTGAACATTTTTGGCTTAGTTTTTGAGCCTTTGTCAGTTATTTGGTGGAATTAATCATTATTTTGGGAGCTTTGTTTCCATGAATTGACCAGATGATATCTTAATTTGTTACACTTAGTAGTAATACAATGAAAACTATTTTATTTATAATATTTTCTTTCAGTGCGATTTCAAATTTTTAATAGTTTTGTAGCAAATAAATGTTAAATATTTTTATACCCTTGTACATCCTCGATAGATCGTCACACATTATCACAATCCTTCTTTTCGTACATCTACATCCTCAGTGGTTACCCCTCGGTTTTTTTATTAGTAACAAAATGGTTCATATATTTTTTTAATAGTTTCAAATAATTTTGGTACTATTTTTCAAATATTGTGCTTGGTAATTGATAAGTGAAGTACTTTGCAAAACGATTAATTTTTCCAAAATTGAGTCATTGATATTATTAGTAATTTGTTCTCATAACATCGTAACATATGACTTTTGTTCATATTCTACTATGTCGTATTTTGAACAGTTTTTTTGATACCATCTAAAATTTTACTCATTTGTGATAAGTCCTATTATTTATCTAGCTTTGATGAAGATATAATTTAATTTTTTATATTTGAACACATAAGATGGCAAAATACTACCTTCAGGAAGAAGAATGCCAATTGATATTTTCCACAAATATGGAAATATGCTCTTTTCAATGATATAATTAATCATATATTAAATGTCCTCTTTTTCGATAATTTGAATCTAATCTGATAATAACTGTATGTTGATACTCTACTTACCGTAAAATTCAATATGACAGATATTTCTTGCTCCGAAATTTACAATATATATTTAGTAAATGATATAGTGATAAAAAAATATTAATTCTGTGGAAAAATACTCGTTTAATTAAATAATTAAAAGGGCATAATTAGGGTATTTTTGTTTGAATTAATAAAATGTTTCATTAATTTATGTTGTAGGTACTTTTTCTTATTTTTTTTTCGTTCTCCTTTTCATTGTAAAGAAATTAGTCACCTAATTATTTATCCATTCAGGTTTAAAGTAAAATTTTATATATCAATCAAAACTACGGTTCATCTCGTATAAATAATAACTGATCACTCGGTATATTAGGAACCCATCGAAACTAATTTTTCACAAATTCTCGGAGTAGAACTAATTATTGTAGAATATTACATCGGCGTTACCCAATTACTTACGTTAGAGGGACGCGAGGGGCATCGAAGAACTAATAGGAAAAGGGGAAAGGGGGCTTCATCCGTTGCCCCTTCCCGGGGGGGCACACAGCGAAAGTGTTCTTTTACTATAAAAGCTCTTCGGGACGTTTTGATTGCATCCAGTTCGCTGTGGTTTCAAAATTAAACAAGAATGAAACTCCTGGTAAGTCGATTGATGGTGGTTAACGAATCGATGTGGATTTTTTGTTGTGAAAAGTGTATACCGGGGTGATGCGATATTTTCGTGATATTTATATGAGTGATTTAATTCAGTGTTTTTTTTTTTTAATGAAAGTTATGTCGGGTGTGTCAAGTTAAAATCTCTTTTTCACTAGTGGAAACGTTTAGTTCAGCTAAAGTTTTTTTCATTTTAAATATATTTTAAAATGGAACATTTATACATAATATTTTTTGGAAATCCAATATATTTTTTAAATTACGCCTCGGTAATTTTGAAGAAATATATTTGATAATTTCCAATGAATTTGTTAAATTGCTTTTTCATTAATTTATAATTAAATAACTTATCATTGATTTGGATATTTAAATAATTTTTAGTGGAAATCTTAAATAAAATAAATGTTTGGTTAATATTCAAACTCTCTAAAACTAGGAATTTCTTTTATTTCAATATTAAAAACTTAGATAGTTTTCTATTCTCAATTAAGCTTTCCAATTTTCCACTGTAAATTGATTTTATTTCATATAAAAATAAATTTAAAAATGTGTGTATATTTTTAACTTGACAACACTTCTGGCTATGTCTTATGAATTGCTCAAAACGTTGAAAATCATTTTTTACTAGCTTTTCAATCATGTATGACAAGTATGAGGTTGTCATACATAGTAAGGAGGAATATAAATTTTATCAAAGGAACAGTCCGCTGAAAACACTGTAAACATTATATAAAATAGAATTTTTAATCAAAGAAATAATGATGGTGCCTAGAATTAATTATATTTTACCAACCAATATCAAATATTAATAGAGTCAAAATCTAACTGGAACAAATTCTGTAACTTAAGGTTTGTCGCAAAATTCCTAAAACACACCAATTTCTATTTTTGATGGGAAATATTACAAGATTTGCTTATTTTTTTTAATTATCTAGGGGATTGCAGACACCCCCAACTTTTTTTAAATTGACGAGTAGGTTGATTAATTTTTTACCTGAAAGTTTTCTCAATTACAAATATATTTACATTTTCTTTTTGTAACTTTTTTATAAGCAATGTGTCGGCCAAAAAATAAGGAAATATTTATTGAAACTACTTTAATGTATGGGCACATTTGTTTTTACTTGATAAGTCACATTAGAAAACCTGGTCGATAGTTGAATGTTATTGATTTGTTAGTACTTATTTTTATTTCAACGTGTAAATTAAAAACGAAAAATAAGAAACTGCCCTATTTAACCCAGACGCATCGTATGAAGTCGCTCGTTTGTTTACCCGAACTCGATATCGGCAATTGGACAGCCTAAGGGATGCTCCTTGATAAAAGCTCGCGTTCATGGTGTCGGTCATATTATCATTTTAAAAATTCTGAAAAAAACTAAAGAGCACCCATAAGAGATGCAAAACCTGTACGATCTTAACGAAGATGAACCTGATCCAAGTATCGCTTTTATCGATGGTGGGCAAATTGCTTTGGAATGGGTGCTGTTTTCTGATGAAGCTACGTTCACATTGCATTGGCACTTCATTCGGCAGAACTGCCGTTATTGAGCTGATGAAAATCTCTGCGGGATATGTGAATGACATATCCCAAGGCCTCAAAAAACAAACTTTTGAACTGGAATTAGTGGGGATCGCATAGTAGGTCTTTTTTTAATGAAAACTTAACCGGAAAAACATACCTATGATCTAAGAAGAACTGATTCCTACTTTAGTGAATTTATTCCAAAATATTTTGGATCCCAACTTATTTGACCAATGGACATGTGCTTCCAACAAGACGGGACACCATCACATTTTGCTGAAAATGTATGCACCTATCTCAACGTAGTGTTTCCAAACAGGTGGATTGGAAGAAGGGGTTCAATTGAATGGCCAGCAAGATCATCCGAGCTTATCCCATTACATTTCCAATTTTCTTCGACATTTTTCAACACAAACATGAACTTTTTGAGGATACAATGGTTTTTCAACAAAAAAAGAGGCTTTTCAGTTGATTACCACCTCATATTTTGTGAACTAACATATTCAGAAGATAAAAGCAAGCATCCTTGCTTATCCTGAGTCTGGAACATTCTAGAATTCTGTCACAGAATTCCCTCTAGGAATTTTCTTTGACTTTCCTATTGGCATAACCATATTTTCTCCAGTATGTCTTATGAGCTTCCCAATTTACGAACTTCTGCTTTTTTGGAAAGATTCCGATTCCACCATACAACGTCACGATCCCCTTTCCTTATTTGTATACGTCAGTTTTTTAAACGTCTTGGTTAAGGTTTGTGTCAGAAACTCTGACATAAACTCAACCTCCACTGAATTCGCCGGTGTTCTGTATCTATAGCGTGTGGAGGGTGGGTTACCCCCACGGCACTTAGGCCTCATTAGGCCCATTGTGCATCCTCCTAAGATGATAGGCACCTCCTAGCTCGTCAGCCTGCCTACAGATTTAATGTAGTTGACAACGTCGCCAAGAGGTGCTTCTCTTATATCGGCCGGTGTTAGCCGATGTTAGCCGATACTCGCCGAACACAAATCTTCTAATAAATGATAGCGTCGGGCAATCGTAAAGGATATGCTCGATGGTCTCATCTTCTTGTTCGCACCTTCTCCAGAGTGCGGATTCTGACACCCCCTTGATATGGAGATGCTTCTGTACTTGGCAATGACCAGTCAGAATGCCTGTGACCAGACGCAGATTCTGTCTAGTCATAGTCAAGTATTTGTTTGCTGCAGTGTTGTCAGGATAACTCTGCAGTTTCTTGTTTCATCCCATCTTTCCTTGAATTTCACAAAGGAATGTTCTTTAATTAGGTCTGTCACTACAGATTTTGTCAGGCCAATAGAAGGGCCAGGTTCAAAAAGTATTTGGTTGGCTGCTTTCTTGGGTAGTGAATCAACAAGACGGTTACCACCTTTGATCCCTCTTAAGGTGTTGAAGGATAGTCCTTCAGTTTCTGCTTAAGTTCATCCTTAAAGGTTCTCCCATTTACCGGTTCTAGGATATGTCTTCGCACCTGTCTTCATTGTTTAGATTATTTTTGAACCATTGACACAATTTCACTTAAAACATTGCAGTTTAAGTGTGTTTTTTTTTAGAATGAGTTGGCATGTGCTATAAGACACATAACCCATTTATAAAAATTAACATTTCAGTCTATTTCGAAATATTTTCCTGATTTCATTTTGTTGCATTTCCCATGTATATATGTTGTTTGTTTATGAAACTATAATTGGTAAGAATAAGTAAACTTTACGCATGTATGCATAGAAATCTAAAAAATAAACTTCGACTTCACTTACCGTGACTAATCAGTTGCAGTCAGTCATTAGCAAGATGTTCTAGTTTCACTTTCTAGATTGCCTTATACAACAAAAAAAACATACGGGCTTACCGTATGTCACCATTAATATAGTGAAAATCATCTATTATTGTCATAGAATGTTGTTTTATTACATTTAAAACGATTATAATATGTGGTTGTAGTTAATACAGGAGAAATGCAAAATATTAACACTAAATAATATTAATTCAAAGAAGGTGTTTCAGAATTAAGTACCGTAAACTTGTAGATCTTAACTAAACGTCCCAGTTTTCATTCTACAGGGTGATAATGTGAATTTCACAAATACATTAATTTCTAAATATCTTTCCTTACGGTAAAGATTTTAAGTTAAAAATATGTACATGCTATTTCGATAAATTGCGATAACCCATTGGCATAGAATCAAGGGTTATTAAAACAATTTTTATCCATTCATAAAAGTTTAGATTAATATTTCTTCCTCACGCAATGTCACAAAAAAATTAACCCTTGGTTGATCTCTGTAGAACATTTTATTTCCGCAATATTTCAGTTTTAGTCCTACTAGAACATGAAATCTATGTACAATTTTATTAAGAGCTGATTTCATAGTGAATATTAAAAGGTCCATTAACTAATAGGACCAAGATTTTATTGACTTAATGGTCTCATTAGTTAATGGACCTTTTAATATTGATTAATAAAAATTTGCATTTTTGGAATTTCATAATGTACTTAACTTTCATGTGTGAGTAGGGCTAAAACTGAAAAATCTCGGAAATAGAATCATTTACAAAGATAAACCCCTTTTTGTGACAAATTGTGAGAGAAACAATAGAATAACAGTGGTCTATCTCCATATAGGGCTGTTTTGAGATATTGAAGTGTTTTCAACATTTATTACAAGGAACATTTTCTATTTTGAAAGATTATTATGGAATGAGTACCGTAATCTTTCGGTCAAAAATTAAAATATGAAGATATATTTTTATACTATTGTATTTAGATAACCTAGTAACAATCCCTATGCAAATTATCTTGGAGAACAATGGACAGTATCAGTAGATGGCAGCACGCTCCATCGCGTCCAAGTCATGTCTTTGATAATTTTGTCGTCTTCTACTGAGCCATCGAACGGTTGTCGAAACTGAATAACGAACGTTATTTCTCTATTTACTAATAGATGGATCGATAGTCGATTCAGAATATTTATTTTAAAAATGATATATACGAGTTTTATTATGCTTGATGTACATTTATTTACGATTTATCATCATTTTAGAGAATATAAACAATATTAGTTTAAGTTAAATTTTATATATATAGGACTCTATACTCAATGATTGAGGAAGAGCTAGCGCTGGGGCAATTTTGATGAAGTACTGTACTTGTTCTAACAGATGGCGTGACATAATAACTTCCGAAGAAACGTCTATAAGGTTGTTCTACTAGATTATCCAAATACAATGTTTATAATAAAAGATACACATTATACAACTCATTTTAAATCCGGGGCATCTATAAGAAAAAAAGGGGAGTTAGACTACTATTATTCTATGTGCCTCAATTATTAATCTTAACTTTTATGAAATATATGATATTCAAAAAGTTTGGATCACAATTGTTTTCTTTGATCTTGATTCTACACCAAGAGGTTATCATAATTTGTTGAAATAGGGTATAATAATTAATAATGATGATTAACTAACAAATACATATTTTTAAGTTAAAGTTTTTACCGTAAGGGAAGATATTTAGCAAATTGTTTATACAGTGCTTATTTTTTCGTGTTAGGCATACGACAATTATGTAACTTAATAAAATGGCAACGAGGCATTAGCTAGTCGTCCAGCAGAACCGAATATCAGTCACAAAGCTAGCGATAGCAGATATATCGTAGTTGCCACATGTTCGCTGAGAAAGCACGGCTATGCCTAATACAAAATATTAAGTACTGTATATAAATTTCACTTTATTACCTTGTAGAATGAAAATTGAAACATTTATACGAAAATCATATTTCGTTTTCCTAATTAGCAAACCTCGTAACGGCACTTTTGGCAAATTCACATTTTCATGCCAACTTGAAGAGAAAAAAAACCCCTATTAGATGTTTCAAACGTCATAAATCCAGAATTCAGAATTCAGAATTAAGAATCCAGAACCCAGAATAATATTATTCTGGATTTATGAGGTTTGAAACATGTAATAGAGGTTTTTTTTCTCTGAAAGTGGGCATAAAAATGTGAATTTAGTAAAAGTTGAGTTACAAGGTTTGCTAATTAGGGTAACGATTTAGCTTTTCTTAATAATTTGTTAATATCTACAAGTCCACCAGTTTACGGTATTTTATTTTGAAATACCCTGTATTTATATAGAGAGAAAAAATAAATGTTTACTGTCAAAGATACATGGACAAAAACATGAAATAAATAAATATGTAAAAAGTTTCAAAATGAAATCCAAATAAAAACGAATAAAATACTGAAAATTACAATTAATTCTGTTAAAAGTAACCCCTCAAAGGCGGCGAAAATGGAGGTATTGTTTTTATAAAATTACATATTTTGTTACAAAGCATAGTTTGTGAAGTATTAAATTAAAGTACCTAAACTTGGTCAAGATTTAAAAAATATATTTGTATATATTTCTCAGGGACGCACTAAATGGACCAAAAAAAAAGACGAGTGGTCGACAATAAAAGTTATAGATATTTTTATTCACCTTCCTACATAATTTTAGGTAGTTAGCTGTGTTTAGTGTTGCCAATACCGTCAATAAAAACGTAAAATTTTAATAAAAATGTACTAGAGTTAGAAGAAACGTACTAAACTTTATAGTAATTTAATGAAAATTAAATCGTCCATTGATAGAGAAGGGGCCAATTAGAATTAGAAATTAATGAAATTATACAGAATTCATTAACTTTTTATTATTGTGTTCACTAACCAATAGGAAGTTTTAAAAATAATCGATATTTTTTTAAAATCTTTGGCTGTATAAACTTAAAAAACAGGAGAAGTTATATGTTAATCTTCTTTATAACACTGAAACATAAAGTTGTACAGTTGGTTTGCCCATCAAATTTTTACAGTGTAATATAAGTGATAATATCATCAATTCTGATTTCCCTACAGCTATAAAAAATGGCATAAAACTCAAACGTTCTAAATTGTATTTGGGCATACTATTGTACTAGAAACTTTAAACAGGTAGTAGATTTAGTACGAACGTACTAGCATTAGCAACGCTGCCTGTGTTTCCCCATTTTTGTGTCAATAGAAAAGTATGAAGACGTAAAATCAAAAAGTTGCTCGAATCAAAATTACGTTTTAAGCTAAATTAAATATTTTTTCTCATATCTGTTTTCAAGAACCACTCATTTATTAGCAATTGGCACTATTGTAAAAATGAATTTTTAACAATATGTAGGTATAATTTTGCAAATAAACTTATATGAAGAAAAGTATTAGAGACAGTTGCTTCTTTTTAAACGATCTAAAATTTTGCTGTATACAGGTTGTTTCCTAATTGTGTACATTAAACTTAAGGGTGTATTGCTGAGCTAATTTCATGAAAAAAAGTCCATATAAACATGGGTCCGGAAACGCTTTGTTCTAAAACAAACAAAAATAATTGGAAAGACCCCCCCGGGACGGCACTGGACCTAATAGTTTTAACCTAGTTCCGGCTAGCAGGCTTTTATCATTAAAAATAAAATCTGTTCAATATCAAAAAAATAGGTTGAATTACATTTAAAAAAAAAATCGATTTTTTAAAAAAGTTTAACACCCTGTATCTTTAGAACAAAACATTTTCGGACCCATGTTAATATGGATTTTTTTTTCATGAACTTAGCTCATAGAATACACCCTTAAATTTAATGTACGCAATTAGGAAACATTCTGTATAACACGATCTAAGCAAATTTTTGGTTTTCAGGTTTCATACCCTGTATATCGAGCTGTATATTGAGCATAAGCATCATAAGTGTATATTTTTCATTCAGAAACTTTTATTTATTCAAACAATCCCTGACAAATGGCAAATAAATTGTTGTACCCAACTTTATGGCGGACGCTGTATATTATGTAAAATTCTCAGAAAAGCACGGATTTATTGTTCTTTTCAAGTTTTATTAACAAGATATAAAGTATGCTAGGGATGAAATTTTTTGTGAATATTTTTGGATCCGTTTTTGAGCCTTCGTCAGTATGTGCCCATGAATTGGTAGAGTATATATCTAAATTTATTATACTTAGTGATAAAATAAAAATTATTTTATTTCTTTTTTATTTTAATGCAGTTTAAAATTGTTGATAGTTTTGTGGCAAATAAATTCACGTAAAATATTTTTATATCCTTGTACATCCTCAAAAAATCATCATACATCCTTGTAAATCCTCGAAACTGTATTAAATCAACTCAAAGTGCTGTTGCAAATCCCAATTCCCTCCTGAGTGTCGATTCTCGATTTGTAAGAACCTTTTCTTATAGAAATTTTCGATATTTTCCTTGGTATTTACGTTGCTAGTAAATCTTGGAATACTCGTCAATATGCTACCTACTTCTTGCAAGGATGATTGCAGTTATGTAATACATTACATTTTTTTCTTTCTACAATTATTTGAAACGGAAGCACCATATCAACACATATATACATATCGGTAAATAAGAAGCTCTTCGATAACATATTACTTTCACTGACATGTAGATTTATTTTTGTATCCGTTCTAGTTAAATCACGTAACCACCGATCATTTTATTATCACTCCATTTTAAGCGTGTCACGTTTCTATTTTAAATCGGAAATGATTGAAGATCGTTAATCTGTATTTTCTTCTCTCTATTGCATTCTATCTGCCGCCTCTGATCTTTTTATGTTTAAAAAAAAATATGTCAATAATTTCCTTATTTTCCTGTAGTCGTTAGATATAAAATCTGGTTAATTTGCATCCCGCTTGATAATTCACGATAATAATAGTAATTTATGTACCAAGTCAGCAAAGTTGTGCTTTATCGAACTCTAGTTTGGTGAATTGGTCCATACAAACTTTTATCGCAAACCGTAAATAATTATAATTAATAAAAAAGGAGATATTATAACATCATATTTTAATAGGACAAAGTAACCAAACAGAAAAATAACAGCGAACACAAAAGAAAATTTATCAACATAGCCATGACCGTCTAACAGAAATAATTCCTGTCAGATGGTTTTAGAGTGTTTGTTTACTTCCGCAAATTGCTATGGTTTGGCTTTATTGACGATTGGCGATAAACTTGTTTATAAGTTAAGAGACCATTACCATTAAATAACAGTGCAATAATCAGAGTCCCAGCTTCAAAAAAAAAAAACAACCGTATTAAATAGTTCCCTATTTTGTCTTGGTTTTTAGAACATTAATGCATTTCCTAAGTCTTTAAAATCCGATAAGGTCATACTAATAAAAATGATCTTCTATTAGTAGTTAATTTTAGTTAAAAAAAGGATAATAATCAGCAAGAAATGAATAATATAAAGTAATAAACAGACAAGAAGATAGACGATGCAAAACAAGAAATAAAGAATTTAAGGAACATGGAAATCAAAAAAGAAAAAACATAAAAACGCAAATTATCGAAAAACAAATAAAATAAAATGTAGAAGAAACCGATAACATACAATAAGAAATTAAAGGAGTATTATTTTCTTCAAAAATAATAAGTTTTGAAGAGTCATGACGTGTTTTTAGACGACCAACATGGTTTCTTGTCAATAAATACTGGAATGCTCTTATTTTTCAAAAACTGATTGAATATATAATAAACAAATTAAACAAAACATTTTTTACACTTAAGGAGGTCCTTTCGCCACCAATGTTAAATAAAAAATATTAGATTATGACTAAAATTAATTTTTTTCTAATAGTTGAAGTCCTTATTTATCTAATAGTGAACTTTTAACTATACCTTACCGTGCAAATTTTTGAGAATTTTTTTTTAAAATGTGAGTATTTGTACAGTGTCTTATGAGAAAGTAAGACTTCAACAACAATTTTCGAATCTATTAGATAAATAAGGACTTGGCGAAAGGGGTGACGAAAGGACCTCCTTAAATATGTTTAAATTTGCAAAAGTAGTTCCTCTACAAAAAAAAATATGAAGAATCAATCATTGATAACTCGAGGATGGCTCCAAACTGATTTTTTTTTTAAATTGCAACCCCCTCCATGTTCAATCAGATGTTCAATCATTTTTCGTTTTTGACTCATCGTGCGAACGAAAAACGTGACAATGTACAAATTTTTAAATTAGGATCAATATTAAACAATTTGTTTTCTCTACTTCTCTTCATAGATTGGCTATGTGAAGAAGTATAATAATAGCCGGTCGGACTAAAAATAACTGTAAGTCCAGGAGATCCACAAGGATCAATTCTGGAGCCGTTACTTTTTACCATATACATAAATAATTTATGTAATTTTATGAAACTTCGCCACTATATTTCATATTTAATTTATTCAACAAATATCTAGTCTAAGCAATGAACTTAAAAGAAAAATCAAGTTATCAAAATCACCTAAATTAGATAATATCGAGAAACAATAAATAATACAAAATTTTATATATTTTCTATTTGAATATTAACGCTGCACTTAGTATTTTAATTATTATTACGTTGTTTATGATTTATTGTAGGGTTATTCAGCGCTTTGCGCACTTCTATTGTTGGCAAGCGCTGAAGAAAAGAAAGAAAAGTCGGCCGCAGACACCAAATCAGCAGAGTCGCAGACCAAAGAAAAACGTGGTTTGGAACTGGGATACGGTGGCGGCGGTGAACACGACTTTGGTGGGGGAGGTGACTACGGGGGCGGTCACGATCTAGGAGGTAAGATGACATTTTATTCACAATAATAATAAAAAAGCCATTTTAAATAACCCACTCCAAAAATGAAGAGTTTGATGATGTTTTCATGGATCCCATCATCAGATTTATATGGGACCACCCCTGAAATAACCCCTTTTTAACAGAAACAGAATTATAGAAATTCTCCCTTTTTTGAAATCTGTACACTCTTTTTTTTCAACTTTACTTGTTACACCTCTAGAAGTCAATAATATCCAATTTATCTCAAATTTATCTCAAAGCAGAACTTAAGGTTTTAGGGATAAATATTTTAAACCAAGCAAATGAAAGTAAAATATTTTCTCTTCGACAACTATGCCTGGGGCAAATAATTGCACTAAGGAATTTCTGCTTAAAAAAAAAAACTATATACATATTTTCTCCTTTCCTAGCATATTGGTCTTCACCTGCTTGGCAACCAGAACAATCAGGTATATATATACAAAATACACATGAAAATAATTAATAAAAATGCATCTTAATATCATATTCTAATATTATACTCAATCATTCAGGTATAAACATAATTAAAGATACAAATTTTAGAATAATTTTTTTCTAATCCATTTAAATGCATTCAAAGAGTGTTTTAGACCTTTTATATTTCAAAAGAATCGAACAAATATAACTTATTACATTACTCATACTGTCTAGCTGTAATTAAAAAAAAAATAACTTAAATTTGAAGCATTTTCTTTGAAAAAAAAAACACTACATAATTTTCTCCTTTCTTAGTTCAGTGGTCTCCACCTGATTGGCAACAACAACAAACAGGTATATATACAAAAAACAAACGATCGCAATAATTAACAAATATGCATATCAACATCATATTCTAACGTCAATATCAATCATCCAGATATACCTCATTATCATATTATATAAAAATGTATTTATTTAAATTCATATTAAAGATAAAAATTTTAAAATAAAATGAATCACATATTTTTCCTACTACTTACAGGATATTCCAAAATTAGAGGTAAATAATTTATCATCATGTATTTATTACCATTCTCGGTTATGGGGAATGGTCCAGCAATTTCTAAGAAAATTCTCTAAAATGGGAGACTTTCTGTTCTGTTGAAGTCCATTACAGCACAGGTGGTACATTTCTTATACCAGTCCTTTACATCATCTGAAGAGTTCATCCAATAAAACCTGAAAGGTGAAGGGTTTCCTTGACTATGAGATATCCTCCTGATGTACTGTCGTGTAACTGATGAAGTAATTCGGGTACTCTAGTCCTTGAAATAACCAACTGTCTTCTGTTTTATTCGTATTTACTGGTAGAATTTTTTCACACACTTTACAACTGCCAGAAGTTCCTTTCTCGTGCAGCAGTAATTTCGCTCAGTTTTGAAGCTCGCTTTACAAACCCAGTACTCTTTCTGAATCGGCGAAAGCATTCCTGACATCATTATCCAGAATAAATTCTTCCTCAGGTAGTTATTTCTCTGGTAGTGAGTAGCCTAAAATTGGTGCTGTGGTTAAATGGTTCTTTAAAGTTTTAAACGCAGTTTGGCAGTCTTCGTCCCAGCAGAATTTTCTTACTTTCTATGTAAGACGCGTTCATTGAATTAGGTGGCATTTCTTGGGGTTTAGCATCAGTTGGACAGCTTGAAATCTTTTAAAAACATCTTCCAAGTTCTTCAGATGGCCATCAGATATCTTCCCTAAGACTATGCTGTCGTCTAAATACACCTAGCGCGTTTTCCAGGACATCATTCTCAATATATTTTCCATAAGCCTTTCAAATGTCGCATGGGCATTACATAATCCGAATGGTATCAATGAATTGTCAGCAATCTAGATTCGATAGTAAATGCCGTCTTTTCTTTGTCAACTGGGTCCATTTCTACATGCCAATATCTAAAGTAAAAAATAGTTTACTTCCGGCCAATGTGTTCAAGGTATTGTCGATTCGAGGCAGATGATAACTGCCTTTCTTAGTAATATTGTTCAACTGACGATAGTCTACACAGAACCTTGTAGAATAAGCTTTCACACTGTTTTCCTTCATTTCCCGAACAATCCGTTTATTGATAGTTTTTCAGGAATATTGCTTCAAAGAACGACATTCATGCTAAATTTAAACGTGGTATTATAACAATTTCAACTTAGCCATGAAAACAAGATTTTATTTATGTACAATAAATGTTGAAGATGACGACCACCTTCATGTATACATAATTGTGCTGAAAAACTCTGAACCTTTTTGTCTTAAAAAAGATTGAATTTTACATGTATGGTTTCAAAAATAATAAAATGTAATGATACAAATTTTTTATACATTTTTACATCGCTTTTCCCTAGTTGTTGCGTCCCAAGAATAAAATTTTTGAACTACTTGGTCTCATTTAGAATATCAATTTCAAGAGAAATCAAAAATTTAAAGTATTTATCTGTACCGATTTCGAAAATATCGTCAGATACCCATTTTCAGGGGGTTATCATATTTACCTCTAATTTTGGATTACCCTGTATAAGAAATCAGGACCCTAATGATCGTTTAAGTTGATTAGCAATAATTGGTTGACAAAAGTTGTTATTTTGAAACTTCGCGGGGGGTGTGGTAAAGGGGGTTAGTTCGATGGATCTATTGTGGCTCATGGGGTAAAGGGTGGGTAGTTACCCATGCTTTAGGACATTGTATACACCAAAAATTTCATTGAATTATCAAAATAGAAGTCTTTTGGCTTAAAAAAACCACTACACATTTTCTTCTTTCTTTAGCTCATTGGTCTCCACCTGCTTGGCAACCACAACAACAAGGTACATATATTTACAAAAAATACACAAATTAATTAACAAAAACTCATACCAATATCATTTTCTAACGTTACTTTCGAGAACTCAGGACAGGTGTACTTCATTACCATACTCATAAATTTGAATATTTAGATTGTTATTACTGATACTTATAATAATAAATTCGATAAATCACCATTTATTTACCATACATACAATGTACCTTTTGTTACTCTCATTTATAATTATATGGTTCTATTTTTTTATTATTAACAAGATAAAATGGTTATGGTTTATTCAGTATTATATTATTAGGTCAGACATTTCTGCCTTTCACATTCCCCTGAATTTTTACTCGATATATTTTAACGAGCCATTTAAATTTCACACCCAACTTGATAGCTCGTTATAATTTTTGTTTAATTAAAGCTGCTTTACCAATCTTGATGACTATAAAAAAATCTTAACCATTTTCAATTTCTAGATTTTTTCGGCATTATAAAATTCACAAAAATCATCATGAGTTTGATCAAAATTTTAAACATATTACACATATTCTTCTCTGTCTTTCTTTAGCACATTGGTCTCCACCAGATTGGCAACTGCAACACCAAGGTATATATACAAAAAACAAAATCGTTTCTTAACCATATCATCTTTTTAAATTAACCGTCGATACTAAAAAATTAAGTAGAAATGTTATTCATTTAACGTTAATACAAAATGATCTATAAGTGTAGAAAATCCAATATCTCTGGACTGTTTCACATTAATGGATCATCATGTATAATTATTATATCCATACGAACATTCTCCATACAAAAACACCCTGTATGATCATGTAACCCATTAATAACAACCAATGATACCCATCATTTAGAACAACTTCATTTCATCGATAAAAAAGTTACCCAAACATCTTCATCCTCTGAGATATTTCTGAAAATATTAATCATTTTTCTGTATTTATTTATTCATTCATTTGTTTTTTCAATACATCATCCGATTTAATTTTGTGAAGGTGGAGGTTATGATGGTGGTCATCATCACGAAAAAACCGTAACGATTGTCAAGAATGTGCCAGCACCATATCCTGTGACTAAAGAAGTGCCAGTTCCTGTAGAAAAAAGGATACCATATCCTGTTCAGGTTCACGTTCCCCAACCCTACCCAGTTGAGAAAAGCGTAAGTATTAATGAACCCATTTATTAGAATAATTTCATGAGAAACTTGATGAGCAATGTAAAAACGGGGGTTTAATAATTATTATAAACATTGCGGTCTATATTTATAATATAAAAAGTTAAAAATAAAAGTTGAGAAAAGAAATAAAATTAAAAAAAATTCATTATAATAAATAAATAAAATGATTCTCTCTTTTTTTTTGAGAAGTATCAATTGATATGACTTACAGTATACTCTTTTACCATAAATACGAGTATACGAGTATACGGTGTCGGTCATTGAACGTCTTCCAATACGCGATAAAACAAGAGTGAATGAAAGCTACAGAGAGTTGGCATTGGAGCGAACGGAAAAGAAATGGTGCCAACGTTACCATTTATACCAACCGACCGCGTTGAAAGGTTGGCCAGGCCGTGTAGGCTGGCATCACTGATATTGTTCCTTTTCTGCTTGCCCTATTGCTGACTCTCTGTAGTTTTCACACGAACTTGTGCCAAGAAATATTGGAAAATTTTCGAAGGCCACTACTGTATAGAAATACATATACATACAGTGTGTAGATTCAAGTTTCATTAAAAGTTACATTGTCCCTTAGCATTTATACAATTCTACTCCAATTCTACTCTAAACATAGTGAACTGGTGCAAAAAGGAGCATGGTAGACCTCGAATCCTTCTGCGGAGTTGCTAAGTCATTGTGCAAGGCATCAATCAATGGACGTAAAAAAAGTCATAGTAATAGTACAATAACTATCCAAGATTGAGAAAGGCTAAAAAGTTCATTAAGAAACCGTCGGCCAAGTTCACTAGATCAAAAAAGACAAAGCTTTAGGATAACAGTAGGTTTTCTTACCGAACACCGTCTACTAAGAAGACACATTAATGTCATCAATCCAGCAGAAGAATCAAATTAGTATAAGTTCTGAGAAAAAGAGGCAACAATTCACGTCTTGTGTCAGTGTCAAGGTCTGGCTAGATTAAGGTTTCTAATACTGGGTAAAGAAGAAAAGCATGTAACTAGAAGCGGGAGTCACTCTGTGTAAATCACAGAATATTGCTAAGCAAGCTAGAAAAATATGGATTCCGAGGAATAGCTCTAAAGTAGTTTCAGTTTTATTTGGAGACTAGAGAACAGAGAGTTTCTTTCAATAAGCAAACATCAATGCTTTCTGTGATTCACTGTGGGGTTCCCCAAGGATCCGTTCTGGGACCGATTTTATTCCTAATTAATGTTAATGATGTTATTAATGTCAATATTAATGAATGCTTCACCATATTTGCAGATGATACAACGTTGCTATGGGAGAGTCAAAATATTGAAGAGTTGTCTAATACTGTTAACAAAGGCATTATTGACATTAAAAAATGTTGTAATTCAAATTATTTATCCCTTTATATATCAAAAACAAATATAGTCTCATTTAGTGGCGATATAGCTATAATTTCAATTGGACAGCAACAAATTTGCAAAAAACCCGAAAATAAATTCTCAGGCTTATTCATTAACCAGAAATTAAAATTTGAAATCCACGTGTAAGAAGCTGTCCTCTGGATGTTTTGCAGTATGAACTGTTGCATACAATTTAGATATTTTGCTTGCAAGGAGTGTATACTTTTCAATGGTAGAATCCCATCTGCGATATGCTATAAGTTTATGGGAAACATGATCTTCCGAGAAGAAAGCCTTAAGACATATGTGCAAAGTTGATGCTAGTCTCTCTTGTAAGCCATTATTTATTTGGAAAAATATACTAACACTCAGTTGTCTGTTTATTTTAGAAACGGTACTTTTAGTTTTTAAAAAATATAAATATTATTACCTCCAGCAATACTCGAAAAATCTTTTACCTTCCCTTGCCTATACCCTCTTCCGGGTTGGTATGTGGCTTTATTGTGTATATCAGAAAGAAGATATTTAATCACCTGTCAATTAATATTAGAAGTGCTGACTCATTAAAAATATTTAAAAAGCAAGTTAAGAAACTCTTGCTCGAAACGGCCTACTACAAATTGGATGAATTTTCTGTGATCGGTTGAATTAAATAGCTCATTTTAATTTATGTGTATAATATATATTTGGTAATTGTCATATTTGTACTTGGTGTTGTTCATATACATTTTTATTCTTTATATTATATTTTATGACTTGACATTATAATTTTAAAAATGTTTAAAAACAAACAAAAAATTGTTTCTTCTCCTTGAACTTTAATTTTTTACTTTTGTTTTTATACTAATATGTTATTTATCTATGTTAATAAGAATGTAATTAATTCTTCAAAAAAAAAAAGAAATTTTGACTTGACTTGATTCTCAAAACTACCAAGTTTAACAAAAGAGACTATAACAGAGTGCTGCAATAGATCTAAAGAAGGCGCGATGAACAAGGACAAATTCCTTTCAAATATATTATAATTTAGATCCTTAAAGTCATAGTAATATAGTAGAAGAAATATATGTATGGCATATCAAATTTGAGATATAGATAACCTTCTTACTCTTATAAATAAATTAGTGTATTAATCATTTTAATAAAACATGTTTTTATAAGTGATATATTTTCTAGGTTCCATACACAGTGAAAGTACCGGTTAAGGTAACCGTTCCGATCCACAAGCCAGTTCCAGTTGAAAAAACCGTTCCATACCCAGTAAAAGTACACGTAGACAAACCATACCCAGTAAAAGTACTCGTACCACAACCTTACCCTGTATACAAAAACGTACATGTACCATACAAAGTACCAGTCCCACAACCTTACCCGGTTGAAAAAGAAGTACCGTACCCAGTGAAAGTACCAGTTCACGTACCTAAACCTTACCCCGTAGAGAAGATAGTACCATACCCAGTTAAAGTACATGTCGATAGGCCATACCCAGTACATGTACCCAAACCAGTACCATATCATGTAGAGAAAAAGATACCATATCCTGTGTTCAAACCTGTACCGGTAGCTGTGAAAGTCCCTTACGATAGACCTGTACCATATCCAGTTGAGAAACCTCAACCATACCCGGTAAAGGTACCTGTACCAGCACCTTATCCAGTAGAGAAGAAAATACCTTACCCTGTAGAAAAACTAGTGCCTTACCCAGTTAAAATCCCTATTTTCAATCCAGTACCTTACACGGTTGAAAAGAAGGTTCCTCATATCGTAGAGAAACCAGTACCTGTACCAGTTAAAGTACCAGTACATGTTCCAGTTAAAGAACACCACCACGAAGAACACCAAGAAATTGGAGGACATGATTTTGGAGGACATGATTTAGGAGGCGGTGATTATGGCGGTCATGATTTGGGAGGTGGACACGACTTAGGAGGAGGCGACTATGGAGGACACGGTTATCATTAGTTTTTAGATAGTTTTATTATTTTATAAAATTTGTACTGTTTCTGTCAGTATTACTGTACGTTGCCTTGTGATTTTTTTTTGTTATTAAATTTTGTATTTTGTATAAAAAAATATTTATAGTTACATGCTTAGTTTGTTTTACCGTTCCTATTGAATATTAAACTTAATAGAGATATGCAGGTACCTACTTAAACTATTTGGAATAGTTAGAATGGGAATTATCATTGTAGAAGTAAAAAAGTATATTACATTAGTGTAGGGCTGGGTAATTATCAAAATAAATAATCGATTATTTAAAATAATCTATTAATCGAAAACAATCGATTAATAGAAATGATTGAACGAAATAATCGATTAATCGAAAATAATCGGTAATTCTAAATAATCGATTAATCAAAATAATCTATTATTCTAATTAATCGATTAATCGAAAATATTCGAAATAATCAATTAATCGAAAATATTCGATTAGGTATACGAAAATAATATATATTCGAAAATATTCGATTAATCGAAAATATTCGATTATTCGAAAATAATCAATTAATCTAAAATAATCGAAACTAATCGAAAATAATCGAAACTAATCGAAAATAATCTAAAATAATCGAAAATAATCGAAAATAATCGAAAATAATCGAAAATAATCGAAAATAATCGAAAATAATCGAAAATAATCGAAAATAATCGAAAATAATCGAAAATAATCGAAAATAATCGAAAATAATCGAAAATAATCGAAAATAATCGAAAATAATCGAAAATAATCGAAAATAATCGAAAATAATCGAAAATAATCGAAAATAATCGAAAATAATCGAAAATAATCGAAAATAATCGAAAATAATCGAAAATAATCGAATATAATCGAAAATAATCGAAAATAATCGAAAATAATCGAAAATAATCGAAAATAATCGAAAATAATCGAAAATAATCGAAAATAATCGAAAATAATCGAAAATAATCGAAAATAATCGAAAATAATCGAAAATAATCGAAAATAATCGAAAATAATCGAAAATAATCGAAAATAATCGAAAATAATCGAAAATAATCGAAAATAATCGAAAATAATCGAAAATAATCGAAAATAATCGAAAATAATCGAAAATAATCGAAAATAATCGAAAATAATCGAAAATAATCGAAAATAATCGAAAATAATCGAAAATAATCGAAATTAATCGAAAATAATCGAAAATAATCGAAAATAATCGAAAATAATCGAAAATAATCGAAAATAATCGAAAATAATCGAAAATAATCGAAAATAATCGAAAATAATCGAAAATAATCGAAAATAATCGAAAATAATCGAAAATAATCGAAAATAATCGAAAATAATCGAAAATAATCGAAAATAATCGAAAATAATCGAAAATAATCGAAAATAATCGAAAATAATCGAAAATAATCGAAAATAATCGAAAATAATCGAAAATAATCGAAAATAATCGAAAATAATCGAAAATAATCGAAAATAATCGAAAATAATCGAAAATAATCGAAAATAATCGAAAATAATCGAAAATAATCGAAAATAATCGAAAATAATCGAAAATAATCGAAAATAATCGAAAATAATCGAAAATAATCGAAAATAATCGAAAATAATCGAAAATAATCGAAAATAATCGAAAATAATCGAAAATAATCGAAAATAATCGAAAATAATCGAAAATAATCGAAAATAATCGAAATTAATCGAAATTAATCGAAAATAATCGATACATCGGTAAAAATCGATTATCATTTTTCAACACAGTCTGAACTATTAGACTTTTAGCACAACTTGGCAACATTGTTTATCTGCCTACATTTGGTTGTATTGAGTCCCATTTTGAACGATTATCACGCAATATAACACACGCAAAAATATATAACCCTGCAAAAACCAGTTTTTAAACAAGTAAAGAGATTTCCTAAATATAGCAAACTTTGTGCAATTTTCATTGTAGTATACAGTGTTTACTTAAGTTGAAATCATATAGAAAACTTTTTTATTATTAATTTTAGGAAGTTATTCTTCATCAAAAGTTCTGCTTGATCTAAAACTCAACATTCAATTATTAGATATCAAAGATTTTTAGTCATATACGAGGTTTGTTAAAAACTAAGGTATTTTACTTTTGAGCAAAATCATATTTTTTGAAAAACTTCGTATACGACTGATAAAATTTTGTAACAGATGGTGGAATTTTAGGTTTAAGATCATGTACATTTTTTTTAAGTTAGTGTCCCTATTGTTTATTATGTTATAAATAATAAAAATAATACTTGTCTCAATAAATGTATTTTCATAAATACCTAACCGTCGGCGTCGTAAAGAAAATATAGAATTCTTCTCGCATATTTTTAAAAATATCAATTCAATGTGAAAAATTGATTGTGTACTAATAAACATTAATTTCACTAATACAGCACATTATAATATATAAAAAAAACTTACCTGAGATATGGAATGTTAGAAGGAATATGATATTTTGAACCAGGATCGAAGTCTATTTCTGATCTCAACACTGGAGGTTTGATGCCTTGATATTTTTCACTAAAAATAAATGAAAAAAATTATTTGTTATAGTCGAAGTCGTCAATTACTTATAGTCTGGAAAAGAAGAAAAGGAATGTATACTTAATAGAATCCTGACTATAAAGACTAGAGAGAAGGAGGCGAATCGGCAATGGTCAAATTTCAAATTTCCGTCCTTCTTTTTATAAAGTTCGCGAAATTAACTGTAGTTGCCATGTCTAATGACAGCATAGTCAATTTTCTATGTGTCAATGTAAAATGAAGTGATTTTTTAAAACACAAGAAGAAATCAATTCAATGTCTTTTTAAATCTTCTAATGTAAGTAAAATAATGTGTTCATGTCTAAATATAATATTAAATGTAAACTAGTCACAATATGTATCTTTCGAAATGTAGTTTATTTTATTACAAGTTTATATATTATACAATTTTACAGTTATAGATGTTGTCTTACAAACAACAATAATTATGTATTAAATTTAACTTACTAGAGAAGAAAATGTATTTTTTATAGAGTTTTAATGTTAGATAAAGAGTTGCTACTGTTATTTTTTTTGGGCCCCAATTGTGTCATTGTAAATGTTTTTTATAGGATACTAAACGTTTAGAACAGTGGCAGGCAGCATATATATCGTCTCTCCTGCCAATAAAGCACTTTCTCGAGATGATGCTGTTCTATACTTTTCAGAAGATATTATCAAATATTATGAGACTATTTTTACTGATGATACTGTTAGCAAAATAAAAGGGGAAAGCTGAAATTAAAGGATGAGGTAATACCATGTACATTCCCAAATCTCCCTTTATACTTGTATTACAACAATAAAAAATATGTTCACTGTATTTTATTTTACTCTTAAAACTATATATTAGTTCAATTCAAAAAAACTTTTGCCACAAAATTTTGGCATTTACGAAACCTTTTCGAATTTGGTCATACGTACCTAATTTGTATTTTATATAGATAAAATTAAATAATTTATCAATTAAAACATGCAAGAGTTATTAAGAAATAAATACATCGGTATGTTTTGTGTTTTATTTAGCTATAAACAAGTTTATTTTTATTTTGAACAGCGTATGCAGTACCAGCGCCCATGCGGTTAATTATAGAAGCTCAATTAGCATGCGTTTTTTTGGGACCGTATTTTGAGTATGCCGATTCGTCTCCTAATCTCTAGTCTTCATAATCCTGACATCTGTCAGGGCTCCAAAACTCGTAGAGATTGTCAAAGGTTACAGGACATGAAGGACAAAATAAACGATTTTTCTTATTTTGATGAATTATACACACCTAACTAACAATGAATAAAGCATACATTTAACAGTTCTACCATAGTGTTACTTTCTTACGAAAAGTATAACACACTTTTTTACTTCTTTTTCAACATAAAGATTTTCATTGTTTTTCCTATATAAACATCTTTGATATATCAACCTCCTATATATTTTACCGACCTATTTAGGCTTTTTTTCTAAAATCTAATAATTACTACCAAACAATTTCTAAATTTTAATTTTTATCCATTTGTCATTATAAAAATACCTTAGAAGCCACCAATGGCAATTGTACTCCTCCTTTTGAACAGCTCCTGTGAAAACGTCGTACCTCCATTTGTCCATGACATAAGCGAAAGGTAAGAAAGCTATTTTGTCCAAAGCCATGGAATACAAGAAGTTGATGTCGACTGCTAGTCGATCTATTGATTTTTGGACGAGGCCTAGGGCTTGTAAATGTCGTGGGGTACCGACAGAGAGACCTATGGCTTCTCCAATCGCTTCATGGAAGGCTGAAAAAGATAATGAAAAGTTTATATTATGTACAAAGGTCCAAGAACGGTGCCTTGCGGAACAATGAATGTTAAAATTTATACATATTATGCATCAAAAGCATTTATATTAATTAATAAATGTATGATATGTATTTCACAGTTTTACATTTCTGAAACCCTTCCTATGGGGCCTCAGTATTGCATCCGTGCAGACGAAAAAATTTTCGTACCCCCATTTTTTAAAACTTTTTTCATGTTTCCTATCATTCTGAGTACGAAAAAATATCAATTTTCTTAAAATCCGCCTGTGCAATTCTTGTGTGACAATTTTAGGAATTTCAATTATTTCTAACGTCAACATTCCTAACATTCTCAACATTCCATAAATTGCAAACATTCTCTAACGACCTGTCAAACAACAGCTGTTGATAATAAAGGTGAAATTTCTAAGGCGGGTTGGGACCTTCATACTTGCAACCATAGCCATTTTGAAGGCTATTTTTATTCGACATTAGTCGCCAAGCCTGCCAATTTATGAAAAATATATAAGCAGTTTCTTAAAAATGACTTTTTTATGGTGGTGCTAACTTAAGCGTACTATTTCGCCCCTAGCCACAAAAACACCTTCATCAAATTTACTGGCTCTCTGTCGGAACCCCATAGAATAATTAACCGGCTATTTTATTTGGCAAAAACCAGAATAATGCTTGACCGTGCCGATCAAGTATCAAGATGTCAACTGTGATGTGGGAATGGCTCTTAAATGTCAAATTATTTAAAAATGTATGCTTCTTTTGATATTTATTGCAAATAATTTGTAGTGTATCTCAATTCAGACTTTCCATAAATAAAGGTACAGCAAGACAAATAATATAATGTTCTTATACACAGCACTTTTTATTATATAAAAGAGAGTTAGGATATAATGCTGTTTTTTTGTAGATAATTTTAATTATACGATTATACATATTCAACCAGCGAATTGTAAATAATAATTAGTAAACTCCTAGTCATAAATTTCCTCAATTCATAAAATTTAAAAATTAATTTTCTTACACTGGGATTTTAATGACGTAATGTGATCAACCCATTTCAAATTTTGATCAATTATGATACCGAGGTATTTTGTTGTGTTTTATATTATAATTATAAAGTTGTCATTTATTTGTATGTTGAAAGAAGGCCTTTGTAAATTACATTCCTCTCTATGAATCTACTTTAACACAAAATAGTTTTGTGGCTATAAGTTGCTATGACCTATCGTCGCAAAACTATTAATAATTTAAACATAGTAAGTAGAAAACGAGGTAAAACAAGGGGTAAAATAACAATAAATTATGGGAAATACTTAAAAAGGGAAGGTTTAAAGAGTATTATCACAAGAAAGTATATCCGTTCTGTTTATTTATCAGGTATTGTTTGAGGTTACTTTTGAATACATTTATTGTTATTTTTTTTTTTATTTCTGTAGGCAGTCTATTAAATTTTTTATTCCTTTAAGGCGATATAGAAAGGCTTGTGAAAATCATCACATGCTTTAACCTAAGTAATGACAATGCTTCACAAAATAAAAAATTTAACGTCCTAATACTACTATCAGCTTCCGGTCTTTCATTCCAAAGTTAAATCATTTCTCGTTTTTGTTACGCTACGAGTTTACCCTTGTGGGCCTCAGTGTCGATAAGGTGGGAACCACCATTTTAGCGTCTCTCGAATTTTACATACATTACTTTTCTACATTAAAAAGATAAAAAATCTAAATTATATACAATATTCAATATTCGAACGAAGTAGAATTAAAAAAAAATGTTTTAATTATAATCGTCTTGCCAATAGGAATATATATAGGGTGGTTAAATTAGTGCGTAGAAGTCCTATATTTTACAATTAATGCAACAAAATAAAAGTAAATCAGTAAATACAAATATATACACGGTATTCCAAATAAACGGTGAAAACCTCAAAGTTAGTTGTATGTTTGCAAAATTACAATCAGAGGAACGAAATAAAAAATAAATCAATAAATTTGGATATAATGAATAATATGGAGACATATAACGACTGAAGATTCCATGATAAAAAATAAGACAATTAAACGAAACATGTTTAGGTAAAATTAATGTGACCATATTTTGAAAAGTAGAAAGCAGGACAAATCGAAAACCATCGATGAATTCTATTTGGAGCAGTAATTGTTTGGTACATTAAAAAAAATATCACGTCACCATAAAAATTGTATTTTCGGACGGCTTAAATAATTTTTTTTTAATCGGACAAAAGCGGGACAAAATCGTTTTTAATCGGACAAAAGCGGAACAAAACTGTTCTTAATCGGACAAAAATGGGATAAGATCGGGACACATGTTAAATCGGAACGCCTAAAACGGGACGGATAGTCACTTTATAGGTAAAATGTTATTCGTTTTCGATTTATATGCATTCTTAAAACACATTGATAAATAAAAATCAATTGAGAAGGGGTGGGTGGCTCAGTGGTAGAGTCTCTGCCTGTGAATCCAGGGTCCCAGGTTCGAATCCCACCGTTGGCCGGTATTTTTTTATTTAATTTAATTATTTAAAATTAATTATGATGCCTTGGTAGGATTCCCCACTCGACCATTCACTGTTGGGTTCTAATTAATAGTGCTGTTCCTAAAGTGGCGCTGGGAAACAGTAACAAGGCCTACACATAACACAAGGCTAATGACTTAGTAGTCGATGCCGATGACACAAAATTAAAAAAAAGCAATTGAACGTTTAGGATGTGTGGTTTGTAGAATGTTCAGGGTACTTTTAAAAGCGCCACCCCAAGCAACTATACAATATCTCAAAGTTGATTTAACTAAAGAGTTGTAAAGAAAAACTAGATTTTTTTCTGGAGAGGATTTCTCTTAGTACGTAGAATTTATGGACTAATGCCCTCAACCGTTTACTGACATGCTCAGTACAACGTACATATTCATCTAGCATAACTCCCAAGTATTTAATAGAAGTTACTTTTTCAATAGAAGGACATTGGCAGATATTATTTTGACAGCTAAAAGAGTGAAGTTTTATAACAATGTTACTAGGTTGGTTAATAATTGTTGGGCTAAATGTTATAAATTTGGTTTTTTTTAACGTTTAATGTAAGCTTATTATGATTTAACCACAAACTTATTTTCCTTAAATCTGATTCTGCAGAAATCTTAGAATCCTCCCAGTTTTTACACGTAAGAATTAAAGCAGTGTCATCAGCATAACATATGAGGTCTCCGGTGAAGTTTTTATCCCTGTGGTAGTCCCGTTTTTACAATTGACAATGAACTATATGTTAGTTTGAGGGAACCTACTAAGCAAAAAAATTAAAAAATATATATAGATTCTTTTTATTAGAAATTATTAGATGCAGAGGAAAAATATTTCCTGTTTCAAAAATTGTTGTTACAGAAACATCTACTAAGATTCCATTACAGTTTTTATTAAATCACACTGTAACCCGAGTTGCCGAAGTTAAATATTATAGGGAACATTACACGAAAAATGTCTCAAATAGTAACAAATGAAGATCTGTTTAATATTTTGCTCATTTTTTTTATCAGATCCTCTTATTTCCAGTATGCGCATTTTACCACCTAGGCAAAGTAGTTCAAACAACAAAGATGTTATATCACTATTAGAATCTCTAGGAATTCCATCTCATATCGAATCTGACTAAAGAATATGTTAATGTTCATAGTTATATTAAAATCTACATTCATATTATAAATTGAATTTAATGTCTCGCGATTTTTGGAATGCTAGATTTTAATTTTTGACCACAGTGCGTGCGTCGTGTACATTTAACGTAAATGTGATTCGCATTATTTTTTTTTTAATTATACAGAAAGGTTGATTTTCCAAGTTATTTTTAAATATATTTTCTTAAATATTTTACAAGAAAAAGGAAGAACACAAATTAGAAAAACGTTTAAAAAATAATCTTCCAAAGTACAGGGTGTCCCAAATAAGAGTGATCGATTTTAAATGTAAATGCACAGCTTATTAATTGCTCTAAAGAGATGGGGTTATCACTAATTGATTTCGTTTATTCAAAAGTTTTTTTTCAAGTTTGTTCACCTTTTATCACATCAATACAGGTTGATCCATTAATGTTGGTCAATTGAATGGAAAAAATATGTATTATTTTAAATGGAACACCCTGTATATTTTGATGAAATTCAAAAGAGAGATTCATCTACTTTTTAAAAATGTATAGTTTGATATCTTTTGTTTTCTTAACAACACGGATTTTCGAGTTTTCTTAACAACACAGATTTTCGAGCTTTTAAGTAATACTGCTGTTTACTTTATTTAAAAACTGACATTAACTAAAATTAACACCCTGTACATTAATATAATTTCTGTTGATACTATTAGAATCCTTTGAAAAATAAAATATAATAAAAACAAAATATCAATATGTAAAAAAAGAGACAGCTGTGACCAACTATAACTAGAGGGGTAATTTTAAACGTATACGAATTTGGAAAATGTAGATGATACAATTGTTTTAAATGTTAATTCAAAGTATTATTGGTAGTAATACAGATTTGTGAAGATTTGAGTCAATTTTATAGAAATGAGAATATTATTGAATAATCTTTATACTTAAATGATATAAGTAATTTGATTAATTTAAAATTTATAGATTTGACAAATAAAGGAAATTGTCATTGACATTTTAACAATAATTAAGTGAATAAATAAAAATAATAAGAAATATAAATTTTAAATTAAAAAAAAATTGACGCATAAAATAAATTGAATAAAAATAGTGTAAGAATATGTGTTAAAGGTTTTGAAAATTTGTAATTTAACCCATTGCCAACAATAATATTAAAAAAAGAAATAATAAAAATTAAATATATAAAATATAAAGTAAGGTCCATTATAATACAAAATAAAGCTTTCGAAAAGTTATCCTTTTGTAAAGTACAGGAATTTCCTGTTCGTTTCAGCGGTTAAACATTTAATTTCTTTTTCGGAATATATTCGCA